TGCTCAGTCTTGTCTATCAACCCCAATGTTCTGTCTGTGTTGTCTGTCTCTGCTCTCTCGTTGTTACAGTCTCTGCCATGGTCTGTAACAGGGTTTCCTGTTCCCTCTGCTCCGCCGTGGTGGTCCTCTGCCACGCCGTGGTGGTCTACTGTCTGGTTCTGTTGGTCCTCTGCTCCACTTTTCCATGACATTCTAATTTATTGAGATGCACCTGTATGTTGCTGTTGCTAATTTATTCCACCTAAATGTGATTGTAGAAACACACCTACAACACTTACCCCTTGTCCAAATACCCACACTTGCGGTCTTGGCCACTTGAGAGCGCGTGCGCACGACAGGAAGTAAGTGCGCAAGAAGGTTCTAAAGTTTATTTAGTACCTCGTACAGAACACACATCCAAATCTAGGAACATGTGACACACTTCAAACATATGGAACATCTAATATGTAAAAGTTGTCACATGTTAAGTCAAAACAGATGACGTAAATTGCACTCCGCTCCGGAGCATTATTCGAGGCTTAGTGTATCCCATCATGCATCATGTTGTGGAAATAAATCATGAGACTCTCTGCCGAGATCTCGTGAGAGGTCACGGAAACCTTTCCAATGTAAGTTAAATATTAATATAATAATTAGATATTACATATAATTTGGTAGAAAAACATTGTTTTTACGTTTTATTGGTGCAAAGATGAGTAGTGGTGATATTTATTATGTACATTTGCAACTGCTTTTTATCACTTAATTAGAAGTACCACAAATTAAAATTGTCATGTTATAGGGACTACTGAACAGACATTTAGAAGTTGATTTTAAAATACAAAGTATTTAAAATTAAAATAAAGCTATGTAAACACTTGCATTTTTACAACACTACAAGTGTGTCCCATCAGGTAATGAAAAGTTCGACACACACTTGTGGTCTTCATGCTCACTTGAACACTTGGCCAAATACAGGAAATACGCCATATAAGTAGTCAAGTGGACAAGTGCAAAGACCGCAAGTGTGGGTATTTGGACAAGGCTTCGGTCTTCAAGTGATTTAGTGCTAGTTCTTGCAGTCACTAATATATGAATCCAAATTTTGGACACATTTGTTTATTTGAGAAATGCAGATTTGCATACCCATTGCTAGACTGCAACAATGATCCATCCTAACATGTCAAGCTTGCAGGAATTGTGTGCATGGTAAATTTTGGTGTCTTTTTACAATTTAAAGTGTGACAATTTAGTCAAGTCACCTTTATATACTGCTTTGCACAATACAGATTGTTTCAAAGAAGCTGTGATAAGAAAATTATTCGTTGATGCAAACAGAATTCAGTTTTGTTGTAAAGCAGCTCTAAAAGACAATAGTAAACAATCATTATTCTGTTGAAATTAGTTCATTGTTGATCCAGTGTGGTTCAATAACTGTGTAAAGGCCATCAAGTATGGAATGAGTTTAATTAAGCAGTAAAGCAGCTCTGGAGAAAACAGTGATGTCATCATCAGCTCAGTTCAGTTCTCATCCAATGTGACCATGCAGTCACTTCAATAATATTGCCCACTAAGCAAGTTAGAAGGTGACACAATCAAGAAACAGACTCCATTTGTGACAGAAATGGAGGGGGGAAAACAGGATAAAACCAGACTCATGCTGCATCCCAATGTGCCTAATTATACCATTCCCTAAAGTATGTACTCTTTTGGTAAAGAAAAATACACACATTTGAGTGTGTAGTAGAAGAGTAGGCAAGCTTTGGGGCATACTATCGCGTCATAAAATAAAATTTTTAACGGACCGCTCTTTCGCATAGTTACACGCACCCTATGTCTGTAAACTGGCCTATCAATCATCTCATCACAGTTAATATCCTCCACATTTCATTTAATTTAACTTCCTACCGTATTGGAGAGAAAAGAAATAGCATGTTGATCTACTAGACTTGGATCTGAGAACAAAGAACACTGCTCATATTTTTTTATGATGCATTTAAAAGTTAATGGCCAAATGAATGTTTATAAAAGTTGACATAGTTGATGCAGTTGAAATATAACTCAGATAACATTAAATAAATATTTTTTTTTACCATGGGCTGGTCAACATACTATGCTTTGGGAAACACTTATTCTCATCTCACATACTATTTAGGATGGATAGTATGAACATTGGGATGCATGGTCAGTCAGAAGGAAGTTATTCTCTGGCCAGAAAGTGAACCTCTGCTAACGCCACCTTGAGCCAGGATGCGGCGTCCGATTCTGCTAACGCCACCTTGAGCCAGGATGCGGCGTCCGGTTCTGCTAACTGCACCTGGAGTCCTTCTGATGAATGATTTTAGGTGCTGATGTCCAACGTGTTCTTTAGTAACTAAATAAAAAAAATAAAAAAAAGTGTTTTAATGGTTTGTTCTGTGTACATTTCATGTTACTTTATCCAGAATTTGAGTGCTAAGAGGTTTGTAGAGCTGCTTTAATGCTTTCTCCTAATGGTGTGGTTTGTTTATTTTTTTTTTTTTTCTCTCTATATAAATGGTGGATCACTTCTGGAACGTTGTTACTAATTCTGCCTAAATGTAGACACCTACTTGCAAGACTTCATCTGTGATTTAAAGCAGTTCTTGTCACTAATGAACCCAAAAAGTGGTAACATTGTTTATTTGAAAAATGCAGATTTGCATACCCACTGCTAACCTGCAAAAATGATCTGTTCTGACACGTTGAGCCTGCAGGAATTGTGTGTTCTGAGTGTTGTCAATTTTCTTCAGGTTTAGTTAAGTAACCTTTTATATACTGCTTTATAAAAGTAGCTTTACAGTGATAAAAGGATTTGTTGATTTGAGGTAAACTGAATTTAGATCTGTTGTAAAGCAGCTCTAAAAGACAATTGTAATCAATCAGTTGAACACTGTTCATTGTTGATTCCAGTGTGGTTCAATAACGGTCTAAAGTCCATCAGTTATGGAACGAGTTTAAATCTGCTCTTGAGAAATCATTAGTTTAGTTCTGCTAAATTCTGAAAAATACAGAGGCTTTAATTACTGGACCAAAGTCCTTCAGCATGTAATATCCTTGAACACTAACACTTGATGGCTGCTCTCAATTCTTTGTTATCAGTTAGGAACTTAGGTGTGCTATTTGACAGTAAAGCTGCAGTCAAAGCGATATCTCCGATCATTATCTAGTTTTGTGCAAACTCCATATAGCTAAAATTGCAAGTTCTACTCATTGTTACAAGTATGGTAGAATCATCACTTCCACAAAAGACTGCTTTAAGTAATCTTCCTGATTTATTTAAATTTCTCAGCATATTCAATAGCTCAGAACAACATGATGTAACCAAAACTATGGACTCTCTCTTTTCTAGCATTTTAGATACGGTTGCTCCTTTACGTTTAAGGAAAACAGTCTGACACTGTGGTATAATGAGCACACTCGCACCCTAAAGAAAGCAGCCCGGAAAATGGAGCGCAGCTGGCTCTTTCAGAAGAAAACTAACATAACCCCAGGTATTTATTAAATACAGTGGCTAAATTAACGGTTGACATTTCCCAATAGCACAGCAGTATGACTTTATAAACTACTTTCCTTCTAAGATCGATACTATTAGAGACAAAATTGTAACCTTGCAGCCGTCAACTACAGTATCGCATCAGTGCGATAAAGATCCCCTGAGGAACAATTCCACTCATTCTTTACTATTGGAGAGGAAGAATTCTATAAACTTGTTAAATCATCTAAACCAACTTCGAGGCAGGTGTTTCAAGGCAAGTTGGAGCTAAACTCTGCAGGACAGTGGCCCTCCAGGACTGAGTTTGGACACCTCTGATCTAAACCAACAGCATGTATGTTAGGCCGGGCATACACTGTGCGATTTCTGTGCAATTCCATCAAGGTACCAACTCGCACTGTAAGAGCAGGTCGCATGCGATGTAAAGTCAAAGCTCACGATTTACGTGCTCACACTGTATGGTCCGATTGTCAAGCACGATTCATGTGCTCACACTATACGTGTGAAATACTCGAAATGCACAGACGATGACACTGTTTATATGGACAACAGCCAGAGATATCTAAAAAAAAACAAAAAAACAGGTGATATCGAGAGGATTTGTCATTTCCAAATAATGTATTAAATTATAACAATTGCTATTATCATTATTATTATTATTATGTTACTTTTATTATTAAATTAATAGGTCTACTACAATTCATTTGCCCCACAATAATTTTATAGCTCTTTATCGCACAACTGCCACACGGACAATAAATGATTAAATTAGCTTACTCCTCATTGAAAATTATTTAAAACATTTAGATATATTACACCATGAATAGGCCTATAATTAAAATTCCGACTAAAGTAGCCTATGTCCGAACACTGTAATAATCAGTCATCAAAATAAGACCTTTATTAGCCTACAGACAGACATTTCAAAAACAACTTGTTTAACACAAAATACTTCAATTCTGTTGTTGTTGTTTTTTCTCTTCGTATATCAGCCATAAGAGATTTTTTTTAGAAAATAAAATAACTCAATATTTCTCGTCTCCTCTGAGAGAATATGTGCCGTTAATGCAGCGTCAGATACCGAAAGCTCAGTCAGTTTTTACTTTCACTTTCTGTAGCTTAATGAATTGACTGGAGTTTAAAACTTCTTCACGGGCATAACGCTCATGCAGTTTGCAAACTGTTTGTGTGGCATACACTGGCTCGCCTTCATGGTTTAAAACTGAAATATTTATAATTTTGCGACGTGTTTATCTTTATCACTAATTGCAAAATGATGGACAATGGTTCACATTTCCCGTGATAACATTATTTTATCAAAAGATCTCTTTTCATTTTCTTTTTTGCTGCATTAAAGATTAAATGATTAAAGTTCTATTTTCGCGCAGGCGCAGTGAGGGAAAAAGCACTGAGTTTAGGGCAGTCGGTTCGTAGCTCTGCTTCAACTGTGCGATACCTTCACATGTCAGAAATTCATCCGACCATCCGATTGCCTGTTGGGAGAGACTTATCGCTTCTGGTTTCCCCCTGTACACTGCACGAACACTGCACCACAAACGACGCACGACAAAGCTGAAATTCGGCCTGGCTCATAAAAGAGTCAGAATTCACAAGTCAGAATTCAGCTCAGAATCTGACAAAAATCGAACAGTGTATGCCCGGCTTTAGACCCTATTCCATCTAAGCTCCTAAAAGAGGTGCTTCTGTAGCAGACTTCAAATGGTAATCTCCGGACACCACAGAAACACGATCACACTATGAATGGGATGATGGATACACTGAATTTATTCCTTTAAACAGAGTAGTGAGGCAAAATTAATGTACACAGACAGACATCGGAAGGCCCACTCTCTCATCACTCTGCTTCCCTGTTTGCATACACCATGCGTCTAAGCACGTGCGCTTAAAAGGGAAGTGATACATTTTCCTTCCGTGTCCCACTAATTAAGGCCCCACGGCTACAACAAATCATAGGAATTCTTGGAACCATTGAAAATAAAACATTAATTGCAAGTTTTGCTGAAGTTAACTCATGAAACATTTCTCTTTACAAAAGAAAAAAAAAAGTTACACTCAGATGTCAATTGGCTACACTCCCAAAAGTCATAGATCCTCTTCTGACTATTATTAATTCATCAGTCATTAGGATATGTCCCCAAAACCTTAAAACTGGCTGTTATTAAGTCTCTCATTAAAAAAACACAACTTGACCCCAAAGAACTAGTTAATTACAGACCGATCTCGAATCTCCCTTTTATTTCAAAGACACTAGAAAAGGTAGTATCCACACAATTATATCCCTTCTTATAGAAAAATGGTATCATTGAGGATTTCCAGTCAGGATTTAGACCGAATCATAGTACTGAGACTGCTCTCATTAGAGTTACAAATGGCCTGCTCTTATCATCTGATCGTGGTTGTATCTCTCTATTAGTGTTACTGGGTCTCAGCGCTGTGTTCGACACTGTCGACCACAACATTCTTTTGAATAGACTAGAAAACTTTGTTGGCATTAGTGGAAGTGCATTAGCATGGTTCAAATAGTACTTCTCTTACCACCATCAATTCGTAGCAGTGAATGAAGAGGTATCATATCGATCACAAGTGCAGTATGGAGTACCTCAAGGCTCAGTACTAGGGCTGTTACTCTTCACGCTTTTCATGTTACCCTTGGGAGATATCATCAGGAAACACAGTGTTAGCTTTCACTGTTATGCTGATGATACTCAGCTCTATATTTCTTCACGCCCTGGTGAAACATACCAATTTGAAAAAAGTAACAGAATGCATAGTCGATATAAAAAACTGGATGACGAGTAATTTCTTACTGCTAAATTCTGAAAAAACAAGTGTTAATGATCGGACCTAAAACCTCCGCATGTAATAACCTAGAACACTGTCCAACACTTGATGGCTGCTCTGTCAATTCTTCGTCATCAGTTAGGAACCTAGTTGTGCTATTTGATAGAAATCCTTCCTTCGAAAGCCACGTTTCTAACATTTGTAAAACTGCTTTTTTCCATCTCAAAAATATATCTAAATTGCGACCTATGCTCTTAATGTCAAATGCAGAAACTTTCATTCATGCGTTCATGACCTCAAGGTTAGATTATTGTAATGCTTTATTGGGTGGTTGTTCTGCACACTTAATAAGCAAACTCCAGCTGGTTCAAAATGCAGCAGCTAGAGTTCTTACTAGAACCAGGAAGTATGACCATATTAGTCTGGTACACATTTTAAAATCTTGCTAATTACCTTTTAAAGCCCTGAATGGTTTAGCACCTCAGTAGTTGAGCGAGCTCTTATCACATTATAGTCCTTCACATCCATTATGATCTCAAAACTCTGGCCATTTGATAATACCTAGAATATCAAAATCAACTGCGGGCGACAGATCCTTTTCCTATTTAGCGCCCAAACTCTGGAGCAATCTGTCAGTTTAAATTTAGCTTAAAAACCAATCTTTTTAACCTGCCATTAATACATTTCACATTTCAATCATTCAAATCCAGTAAAGGATTGTTAGGCTGCATTAATTAGGTAACACACAATGTACTTGTTACATCGTAAGAAGAATAGCACCTATGCTAATATTAGTCTGTCTCATTCTTATTCCGAGGTCACTATAGCCACCAGATCCAGACTGTATCCAGAACAGATGGTCACTGCAGTCACCCGGATCCAGTCCGTATCCAGCCCAGATGGTGGATCAGCACCTAGAGATGACCTCTACAGCCCTGAATGTCAGCAGAGACCAGGACAACTAGATGCACCCCCGAGACAGATCCCCAGTGCGGACCTTGTCTCCTAGACGGCCACCGGGACAAAACCACAGGAACCAGATGAGTCCTCTGTGGTCTCCCATGGTTTTAAAATCGGTTAAGATTTGAAAATCGCCTAGTGTGTGTGGCCAGCTTTAGTTGGGGACACTTGAATGACTGCACAAACATTATTGGAAGAGAGCTGAACTGGATGATGACATCACTGAACCATCAATGAACTGACTTTAACTGGAAAAATGACTGTTATCATCCTCTTGCATTATTGATACACTGTTTTCCTGTTTGACATTGTGAAGCTGGTGTGACACAATCTGTATTGTATAAAGCGCTATATAAATAATGGTGACTTGACTCATCCGATGTGATCATGCAGTCAAGTCAATAATATTGCCAACTAAGCAAGCTAGTTGGTGACTGACAAAGAACAAACTCCATTAGTGACAAAAATGGAGAAAAAAAAAAAATTGGGGGTGAAACCAGACTCATGCTGCATCCTATTGTGCCTACTTATACTACGTCCTTAAAGTATGTACACTTTTGAGTGTGTAGTAGCAGAGTAGGCTTGCTTTGGGACATAGTATCACACCATATAATTGACTGTTCGCAAAGAGCTTGATTGACAGGTCTTCTGACCAATCATGATGCTG